TCAATGCCACCACCCTCCAAATTGAACAGAAATGATTTATTTCACAAAGGCCCACTAAAAAAAAAAAAAAAAAATTATACACAGTAGCAAGTTAGCTGCATATAAATGTTTAAAAGCTTCACTTACCCAACAGAATGCATTATGCATGCAAACGGCATTATTAAATAATGGCAACAAATAAGAGAATTGGATTACTCATTAAAAATTCAAGAAACTTCTAAGTGATGCAAAAAAGGATTTTTAAAGGAAAGGAGCATGACAATCAATGGACACTGGTGATGTTAATATAAACAACTAAATCTAAAACTTAGGAACTAGGCAATTCAAGTACAGCTACTATATTTTTTAGATAACCATGGAAAAAATTAAGAAAAAAAGAGTGTGAAACTACGGTTCCTGTTGAAACTCTTTTTCTAACACTTTGGCCAGCTGCTTTAGGTAGGTAAAAGCATTGTCAGATTTGTTTTTAAGAAGTCAGCCAAGACCATGTTAAAGAAAACCAGTCAACGCAGCCTCAGAAGCAGATGTGTTTGCATTATGCCATAACTGTTTTCAAGCAGTGCTTCCTTTTCCTTTGGGCAGATAGGGCCTAAATGCCTATAAAAGAATAACACCATGCACAAAACATAACATGCAATGGACACATAGCTTTGTTTCTGGTAGAGCAGATACAAGCTTACAGTAAGAAATATCCACAAAAATAGCACAAATATAGGTATTGACGCTATTTGGGAATAGAAAAGGACGATCTAGCCATAATTGTTTAAGGAATGTTAATTTCTGCATGTTACAACAGTCAGATACCTACAGCCATATCTGTTATTGCTAACTAACAGGATCCATACATTAAACATAACTGCAGTTGTACTGTGCAATACAAAATATTTATGAAGAAGTTAAACACAGGTTACGTTTTCTTGACCAAAGCAGTGAAAATGGCACATTTAAGATTGTAGGGTCCTTGAGAAAGAACCTGACCTCTTTGCCCTGATAGGTTTTGTTGGACAAATTTCAGTCTAGAAGGCGCCATAGTAATTATTTCACACCCCTGAGAATAAACCTCTAATTCTATCAATGCCAGGAAATGCATTAACTCACACTGTTATTTTTCTGTTTGATAAAATGAGTGTTTGTAGGCAGGGTAGGATTTAGCTCCAGGGAGGGGGCTTGACAGAAGAACTGGAGCTGATAAGTACTGTGTTCAAGTGGTTAGGGGTGGGAGAGTGTACACAAAGTTTTTTCCATTGTGCCTTAAAATAAAAATTGGAATTGACAGATGTTATTCACAACAACAAAAAAAAAGCCAAACCACACAAGATCCCTTGTTAATAATGGATTCTTCTGACTTAGGAGACGGCTTTACTGGTCTTGGTAAAATTTCCTGAAGGGCTCAAATGACTTGAGTTTTGGATGTCCAATTGGACGAAGGCACTTATGTCAGTTAAGCATTAAAAAAAAAAGCAAAACTTTGGCCTCGTCTATTCTTCACATAGCACATTCCAAAATGTAATGCTGGAGATTAACTAAATACACTGCACCTATTCCACTCCATGTTGTAAATTTAGCCTGCATTAGTTTTACATCTCTGTTAACTCCACTTGCATCAAACAGACCTCAGAAAGGAAATACCTAGATGCCTTAATGTTAATAGCGCAGTTGTCCTGACAAGAAGCTGACGTTTCCTTCTTAATACCTGTGCTGCTATTCAAGACTACAGCAAAAAGAAGCACAAATGGGCAAGTCCACTGGAATGCAAGAGATGTACACATGCGGACATTTAAGAAGCCTTCTAATACATGACATGCATTTAAAAATATGCAACATGCCATAACATCAAAATTGTAAGCTAAATCAACAAAACAAGACGAAATTACTCCTAAGTCTGGAGGGAGGAAAAAACAAAACAAAACAATGCATTATGGGGGTGACTGGTTTGCCATTGTGCAAGAGTCAAACTTTGGGACAACAGGGAAACAGTTTTGTCTACTGCATACATTGTGAACTATTAAACTAGGAGAAACTGTAAGACAACCTGAAAAACAGCAGGCTGGTCTGTTGTGGTCAGTTTTCACTGTATTCTTCTTATGTGAGAAACTAATTCTGCTATTGCTCAGAGCAGTCTAATTCAAAGTAACCATATGGGTGTGGACACATACATTTGGAGCCCTTTCAAAAGGGGAATGTTTCAAGGGTGGCAACTGGTACCTTCTAATTATTACATGTAAACAAGGTGAGAATGATTAAATGTAGCAAAACTGCTGCAGCTTTAACCCTGGATGAAAGAAACCATGTTAAAGTTGGAGTGGTTTTGTTACATTTGAATCACTCAGCTTCTGGATGAAAACCCCTGTTTCTGAGACAATATGAGCTACATAGGAAGTTTCATGATATACGTATTTTTTGTCCCTTGCCTACAGATCCCTTGACAGAAACTAGTCTAATAGAGAGAGGCAATGCCCAAATATCAGTACTATTTTATAATCACTGAGTGGTTTATGTGAAGTGTTTGTTCAAGATATACTGAGGCTGCTACAGGCAAACTGCTACCTTGGTACCTTTGTTAGTATATCAAAGAGACATCAAACAAAGCAAGCAGAGTGACTATCCCTGCCACCTAAGAAGGGCTGGGTTCAACGTGTGAGGCAGCATATATAACTGGAACAGACAGATACTGTTCAGAATGTATATGGCTCTGTGTACAAGGGATTTAATTGGCAATGAATAAAAACAGTTTGGGGGTGGGAACAAAAACACATTTAAACAAAACCTACCACATCACTAGCATTGGAAAATTCATTGTTAACCAAGCTTTCAAGGGCCATCCAACGCACTGGCCTGTTTTCATTATCTCCCAGGCAATGATAATCCATGGGAAACAGGTCCCGGGAGAGCGCATTGTCTGTAATCTTCACCTGAAGTACTTCATCAATGCTAAGGCAAAAAACAAAACAGGAGAAGAGTAATCAATGAATACCAAGTATACAACATTTTTAAAAGCCCCGACTACTTCACAGAAAGCATTTCATAAACGGGGATTTTGCCAGTGAGTGTGACTGCTCAACCTCTCAAATTTTACAGTAAGATTCCCCCCCACACACACCAAAACACTGTTATTCTTCTGCAACTACTGAATATAATAGTTCTGTATAATAATTATTTTAGCTTAATAAGGAGACTTAGATTTTGTATGACTAACATGAACAGACGGCCAGAAATCTCAGAGATAAAAATTAAAATCAAGTATATGGAAAAAGTGTTTAAAGCACTAAAGCAAACTTTCTTCAGTCCTGTCAACTAAATTTCCTTATTACCTTGCTACTTTGTTTTCAGATTAATTTTACAGAACATTAATATACATATTCTCATATTTGATAACACAAAGTCACCTAGTCAGTATCTTGCTTCTTACTGACACTGTTCAGTACCAAATGATTCAGAAAAAAAAAAGTGCAGGAAAAAAAATCTAAAATACATGAAATTATTAAATGCCTTCAAATGTATCACTTACTTTTACTTCTGTTATTATATCCTTTCTGAGGCAGCAACTAGCATTGAATGAAATAACCCAAATTTTCAGAAAAAACTTAATTTTGGGCACTGAATCCAAAAGCCAAAAAAAGACTAAATTGTAGACAGCTGAGCCACAAACTTTTAGGAGTAGAGGGATGAATGCCTCATTTCTATGGACATTTTAGAAAACAAAGCCAACTACAGACTTGTAACTAGGTGCCTGCATAGTGTTTCTCTACTTTATATTTTTCAGTTGTAATGTCAACCAATTTCCTTGGTAATAAGGTCAGACTTTGTTCTCAAAAATCCCAGCATCATCTTTAATGACCGTTTAAAAACAGGTACAACATTTCATAGTTTCATAGATTTAGGGTCGGAAGGGACCTAGTAGATCTTCTAGCCCGACCCCCCGCTAGGGCGGGAGAACAAAACCCCAACACAAAAACGGGACTCAAAAGAGTCCAGCCAGGTAGGCATCCAGCCTCTTCTTAAAGACCCCCAGGGTAGGGGCCAGCACCACTTCCCTTGGAAGTTGGTTCCAGCTCCTAGCCGCCCTAACTGTGAAGTAGTTTTTGCGGATGTCCAATCTATACCTCCTCTCCA